GGGGGGGGGGGGCGGATTGAGCATCATGTGCATCTTTTTTTTTGGGGGGGGGGGTAAATTCCAGTTGGAGCCCCCTCAAATCCTGGGTGCACCATCGGATTACAGAGACACGTCGCAATTAATGACCTCTTCCCAAACTTCAGCATGTTGCTGGTTCGGAGCCTGTAGTTGTAACCCTATTCGTAGTCAAAGGTGGGACTTGTTTTGCTCAATTAGGCCTATTAGAGTTTCCGTCACTACCACGCGATCTTTCAGTGTATTACATCGTACATGACTATTTCATTACATCCAGACCATTATAACTAAAACGGCTGTGACGGTTTACCGCAATTGGCGGGCCAGGCCACTGCAATTGATTGTGGTGTGACCATGGTTACTAGATCGTCTATATCTTTTCTTTTCTCGAAGTGGAACAAGCTCGGAAAATGTAAAATTAATTGAACCAGTGGATTAATGCATGCAGTGAATTTTTCTTATTGCTAGTGTGTAATAAGAAGTTTCAATGCACCTTCACTGATAAACAACTTTACTTTGAGATGTGATATAAAATTTACAAGAAAGGCTGATCTTAATGTGATAAGGTTATTTATTCTATTCTTCCGTGCAATGCTCACTTAGGTGGTCTTTTTTCTGTCAGATTTTCCCCAGAAACCATCAACAATTGGAAAGGGCATGAGATAGCGGTTGTGTGTGCCCAGTGTTACAGTCACGTATTTGTCCAGCATGCCAAGTGCGTGCCTGCCACCGATCCTGTCTACCACTTTGTGCCCTTAACAACGGCTTACCAGCCCTACCTGATCAACCCTGAACTACCGGAGAAAATGCCCTTTGTCAAATGGGACACCCGGAGTTTCTTGAAGAACCTGCTGCTTTCACCGAAAAGGAGCATAAGTAGCGAAGACTACGTACTCGGACCGTCGCCTACTTCTCCCCGCACCCATACTCCCAGGCCAGCCAGTCGGACTGCTAGTGACATCACACAGTCACCCACGTCAAGCCCTTGGTAATTTTTTTGGACTGACAATAAGTTTGAGGGCACACATAATCATTTTTAATTATTAACCATCAATTACCTGTTTTAATGGTTACCAGTTAAAGCTTTTGTAATACATGTAAAACGTTCTAAAACATCCCGAATATTTATCACACACAGCTAATGGTCAAACGGTCTTGTTTAAATTTGAAAGTTTGTATACAGTCACTTTCTAAGAAGAAAAAAAAGGAACAGAATTCGTTGATCTGTTTTGTTGATCACGTGTTTCGTATGAAGCAGATCATTTCTCGTTTGTACTCATTCTCTGCCCATAATGGTTTAATGAGAAAGACGATTAATTTACTTTCCGGGAAAGACTTTGATAATCTGTTAGAAAGCTGTAGCGTAGTTAAGATCTGGGTCCTGTAAATTTGGCCATTTACATAACACTGTATGGGCAGATGTCTATTAACTTGAAGTTTATAGAGGTATTGGACCGACCTATTTTGTCATAGGAAGCAAGCTATGGGACAGAGAGAACACCCCCAGCTTATTAGTAGGCAGGAGGTCGTGGGTTCGAGTCCCACCCGAGTAAGCTTGTGAGGTTTTTTTTCGCAAGCTCTC